CCAGGGTCAAGCCAAGGTTCTTTGCACTCTGGGAGGAAGACACAATGGAGTTGTCAACCGTGATGGCGAGATCATGGAGCGGGCAGTCCTTCCCCGGGAGGAAGAGCAGCTCCGTCTTGCCGAGGTTCAGCTTGAGGTGGTGATCCAACATCCACACTGATATGTCTGCCAGACATGCAGAGATGCGATACGCCACCTGGTTATCAGAAGGGGGAAAGGAGAAAATTAATTGTGTGTCGTCTGCGTAGCAATGATAGGAGAGACCATGACAGAGCCAAGTGACTTGGTGTATAGAGAGAATAGGAGAGGGCCTAGAACTGAGCCCTGGGGGACACCAGTGGTGAGAGCACGTGGTGCGGAGACAGATTTTCGCCACGCCACCTGGTAGGAGCGACCTGTCAGGTAGGACGCAATCCAAGAGTGAGCAGCGCCGGAGATGCCCAACTCGGAGAGGGTGGAGAGGAGGATCTGATGGTTCACAGTATCAAAGGCAGCAGATAGGTCTAGAAGGATAAGAGCAGAGGAGAGAGAGTTAGCTTTAGCAGTGCGGAGAGCCTCCGTGACACAGAGAAGAGCAGTCTCAGTTGAATGACCAGTCTTGAAACCTGACTGGTTTGGATCAAGAAAGTCATTCTGAGAGAGATAGCAGGAGAGTTGGCTAGAGACAGCACGCTCAAGAGTTTTGGAGAGAAAATAAAGAAGGGATACTGGTCTGTAGTTGTTGACATCGGAGGGATCGAGTGTAGGTTTTTTGAGGTGGGGTGCAACTTTCGCTCTCTTGAAGACGGAAGAGACATGGAGGATGAGTTGATGAGCGAGGTGAGGTAAGGGAGAAGGTCTCTGGAAATGGTCTGGAGAAGAGAGGAGGGGATAGGGTCAAGCGGGCAGGTTGTTGGGCGGCCGGCCGTCACAAGTCGCAAGATTTCATCTGGAGAGATAGGGGAGAAAGAAGTCAAAGCATAGGGTACGGCAGTGTGAGCAGGACCAGCGGTGTCATTTGACTTAATAAATGAGGATCGGATGTCGTCAACCTTCTTTTCAAAATGGTTGACGAAGTCATCCACAGAGAGGGAGGGGTAGGAGGAGGAGGATTCAGCAGGGAGGAGAAGGTCGCAAAGAGCTTCCTAGGGTTAGAGGCTTGAAATTTAGAGAGGTAGAAAATGGCTTTAGCAGCGGAAACAGAGGAAGAGAAAAGATGACAGGTCCGCAGGGAGTCTAGTTTTCCTCCATTTCCGCTCAGCTGCCCGGAGCCCTCTTCTGTGAGCTCGCAATGAGTCGTCAAGCCATGGGGCAGAAGGGGAGGACCGAGCCGGCCGGGAGGATAGGGGACATAGAGAGTCAAAAGATGCAGAAAGGGAGGAGAGTAGGGTTGAGGAGGCAGAATCAGGAGATCGGAGGGAGAAGGATTTAGCAGAGGGAAGAGATGATGGGATGGAAGAGGAGAGAGTAGCGGGAGAGAGAGAGCGAAGGTTACGACGGCACATTATCATCTGAGTAGAGGCAGAGTGAGTAGTGTTGGAGGAGAGCAAGAGAGAAAAGGATACAAAGTAGTGGTCGGAGACTTGGAGGGGAGTTGCAGTGAGATTAGTAGAAGAACAGCATCTAGTAAAGATGAGGTCAAGCGTATTGCCTGCCTTATGAGTAGAGGGGGGGGGGGGGGGGGGGGGGGGTGAGAGGGTGAGGTCAAAAGAGGAAAGGAGTGGAAAGAAGGAGGCAGAGAGAAATTAGTCAAAGGCAGACGTAGGGAGGTTAAAGTCACCCAGAACTGTGAGGGGTGAGCCATCCTCAGGAAAGGAACTTATTAAGGTGTCAAGCTCATTGATGAACTCTCCAAGGGAACCTGGAGTGCGATAAATGACAAGGATGTTAAGCTTGAATGGGCTAGTGACTGTGACAGCATGGAATTCAAATGAGGAGATAGACAGATGGGTCAGGGGAAAAAGAGAGAATGTCCACTTGGGAGAGATGAGGATTCCTGTGCCACCGCCGCGCTGACCAGATGCTCTCGGGGTATGCGAGAACACATGATCAGGCGAGGAAAGAGCAGTAGGAGTAGCAGTGTTTTCTGTGGTAATCCATGTTTCCGTCAGCGCCAAGAAGTCGAGGGACTGGAGGGTAGCATAGGCTGAGATGAACTCTGCCTTGTTGGCCGCAGAACGGCAGTTCCAGAGGCTGCCGGAGACCTGGAACTCCACGTGGGTCATGCGCGCAGGGACCACCATATTAGAGTGGCAGCAGCCACGCGGTGTGAAGCGTTTGTATGGCCTATGCAGAGAGGAGAGAACAAGGATAGACAGACACATAGTTGACAGGCTACAATAATGCAATGGAGATCGGAATAAAATTAACTAAACATCTGGGAAAGCGAGAGAGCGGGGCCTCCCTCACTTACGTTTCACTGAAACACTCAAATATAACTCTCCCAACTTCCACTTTAGAAATTATAATTGTTGTAAACTACAGCGGTTCAATGTTTCTAGGAATAGACTCTAACTTAGTTTATTCAGCTAGCTAACTTGGTACAGTATTCTTCCGTGAAAACCGCCTAGGGCAGCGTATCCTATGACGCCATAGCTAACTAGCATGCTAGCTTCCAATAACACGGTTTAGCACCAATACTCGGTTACAACAAACTACCAATAGTGTGTTAACACGCTAAACAGATCATTCGTGTCCGTGTCTAACGTTGTGTAAAGGTTTGGGGTTAGTTTTGACAGTTTGAGAGAGTACGTCGTCAACTTATTCAGCCAGTTAGTTAGCTAGAATAGTTAGCATATTAGCTAGCCATTGCTCTCTGTCAACGAACCAACCCCTCCTCCCACGGTATGAAACACACAGAGAGAGCCAAGCTAACGTTAACTAGTCACCCATGCCTTGAATTCCTTTTGAACTAATCTGGTTACCAGTATGTAAAAATTAAAATAAAATAAATGTAGGTTATAACTTACCCTTAGTAGCTACTGTTAGCTAGTTATGTGTAAAGCTAACTACTGAATCGATTTAGCCAGTTTGCGTCTGTCCCAACGGAGAGAAAGCGTCTCCAAACATTACAGCTAGGTCGTTCCAGATATTGTTTAGTTAGCTATCCAGGTAGCAACAAGCTAGCTACTGTAACGTTCGTTCAAGGACGGGTCAGACCAAGGCGCAGCGTGAAATGCGTACATGTTTATTAGAATGATAAACACACAACAAACCAAACGTGAAGTCCTAAGGCTGAACACTAATGAGTGCCAATAGGCTGCCTAAGTATGATCCCCAATCAGAGACAACAAGCGACAGCTGCCTCTGATTGGGAACCACACCGGCCAACATAGATCTACGCAGAATGAAACATAGAAATACTAACATAGAACATTCACACCCTGACTCAACATATAAGAGTCCCCTGAGTCAGGGCGTGACAGCTACATTTCGAGTACAGTAGCTACTAACTACCTAACGTTAACGCTTCAGATAATGAGGTTAGAAAAACAGCTGAATGGTAGGTAGCTAGCTGGCATAATTACAGGTACTCTTAAGCGTGAAATAACATTGGAAACAACTATCCACAGTTGCTAATAGTTACCAGTAGCCACCCGCCAGTAGCTACCCGCTAGCTAGCTAGCTAGCTATAAGTTATCCTGTACAAGCTTTTATGCTGAATACATTACGTTGTTACAGGTGTCAAGCTTATGGGCATGTGGCAGCAGTGTGTAGGAGGGAGGTTCCTAGGTGTGAGAAGTGTGTAGATGGGCATGAGACAAAGGAATGTGTAGCATTGGGGAAAGTAGTGGTATGTGTTAATTGTAGGGGTGCCCATGGGGCTGGTAATCAAAAATGTCCGGTGCGAGAGAGGCAGGTTGAGGTTTCCAGGGTTAGAGTAGTGCAGAAGGTGTCCTATGCTGAGGCAGTGAAGAAAGTAGAGGAAGATAGGTCAAGGGTGAGGGATCCTGAGAGGAGTGGTGTGAGTAGTAGATCTGTAACAATACAGAGGGATAAGCCAACAAGTGATATATGTTTCAGTAAGATTGGATTTTTAGCATTTATGGGAATGGTTATCAACTGTACTGCAGGGATGGAATGTAAGTCGCAGAAAATGGAGGTTGTGGTGGCAGCTGCAAAGAGGTATTTGGGTGTGCGAGACTTGACCTCAGAAGAGTTACAGAGTGTTTTAAGTGGTGGTGTCCAGTCATTTCAGGCTGTTGGCCTGAAGTAGGACTAAATAGATTCAAATAGAGAAAAAATAGAGTAGGGTGGTGTTTTATTTATTTATTTTATTTTAGTGAGTGTTAGATGATAGGGTCATTTGTAAAAAATAAAAAATAAAATAAAAATTAAAGCAAGGTATAAGGGAGTTATACTCCAGTGTAGCAGGTGGCGGTAATGCAACATTTATTGGATGCCAACCGCCGTTAAACCTCATCTAAGAAGAGCAGTAAATCATTGGACCAGAGTCTACAGAATTGGTTACATTGTACAGACAGCGAGCGATCAAGTGAGAATCAGGAGGGCACATCCCGGTATTGGTTGATTGTTTTGTTATTGGAATCGATAATTGACACTTGCAGACAAAACATAACTATTTTGTGTATTTTTCTTTTCTTTTGGAGACACAAAATACTTTTTCTGGGGTCTTTCAACTGGTGTTTCAACAAGATGTTGCCACTACGGAAAGGACACACGCGTGTTTCATTTCGGGAGTTTTCCTGTGGTGGCTGCATGATCTATTTACTTGGAGCAGGCTGATATGGATGTAATGTGTGGGATGAATTGGAGAATTTATCATTTTGCACATATTGAGCTTGAATTCATACTTTCTTTTTTATATTTCGAATTTCTTTGAGAATGGACAAAAAGGAAAGGATTTACCCAAAGAAAATCGATGTATTTTCTCAAAACACATGCCATACACACTAATGCAAACCTGTGGTCTGGCTAAGTGTGATTGTTGTGATGCTTCTGCCCTCCATTTCCACTGACAGCTGTTTGGATTTTCATTGTTGGATCTGTGCGTTTCCAGAATGGCTCGCTTCGCAGAAGATCTACCCACCCGCAATGGAGGTGGAGGAGGCAGAGGTGCGCCGGGCGCAGGCAGAGGGGGCGCCCGGGCGGGTGGTCCTCCAGGCGGCCAAAGGATGTACAAGCAGTCGATGGCTCAGAGAGCCAGGACAATGGCCATATACAACCCTAACCCAGTCAAACAGAACTGCTTCACTGTCAACCGATCAATGTTCATCTTTCGAGAGGACAATCTCATTAGGAAGTATGCTAAGCGAATAACCGAATGGCCATATCCTTTCCTACCCAAAACCAGGGTACACATTGGTGTTTGTATAACGCATCTATCCTTATTTGACAAACACAGACTGGTAGATTTTCATTAAGAAACATGACACAGGGAGTGAAGAGCTTTTATTTTATTTAAAAATGTCAATTAAATGCATAACCCTATGTCTGCTTTTACTGAAAATGACAAATGTATGCCCTTTGTCACCATTTCGAAGCTCATCTGTCAGTGAACTCAAAATCGATTATTACATTATAGGATGTATGCCTATTCTGGTGTAAATGATTAGTTCATTAAACCTCTTGCTTAACCCCTGGTGCACCTGTCACTCAGTGTTCTGCCTGATTGGACACGAGAAATGATTTCCCCCCAATAGTGTTAGCATACAGTTTAATAACTTGGCAAGATGTCCTATGTACCGTGTACACATTCACGAATTTTGCACGACTACTTGTTACTTCTCCAAAAATATTTTGTTGTGATCCAACTACCTACTCGCTAGATTCAGTTTTCAGTTTCAATTGTAAGTGAGCGAGTTTAATCTCTATAATGTGTATGTATATTTTTTGTTCTCTCAGCGCTTGCTTCTCTTGGATTAGGGTTCGTTTTTTAATTCACCTTCTCTGTATTCCATCTCGTTTGTACATTGCCTGTTTGTGTGTTAGAAGGTTCGTTTCAACTGTTGCTGTTCACGGATTTTTCCGTTTCCATGGTAAAGTGAGCGCTCAGTGAGTTGGAGAGGAGATCGCTGGCTCTGAGGTTGTAAAACGCCTCGCTTCGTCTGAAGGGCAGATTCCACCATGCATTTTTCGTATTTGTTCACTCAAAGTCGAGGAAGGCTTGTTTTGTGCTTTTTGCGAGGGGCAAAATGCAGTGTTTAGGCTTCTGGCGGCCCCTGGGCAAACGATTCTAGGGTGATATGTCGATGGGTCAGTAAAGCCTTCCCATTCCTCCTCGACTCGCTACATAGACAATGGATTGAAATGGTCACCCAACTGGAAAGATGTTGTAACCCAAGTGTAGCTCTTGGCCAGGGTTTTAGCAACACTGCATGGGCAGACCATGGTCTGTTGCTGTAGTGTGTGGGATTAGCCTATCATCTTTTATTTCTGACCATATGTAGCCTAATTCACACAGCATGGCTGTCTATTGGACTCCTGTTCAGTCAATGTCATTAATTGGTTAACTGAGCTCAATGAGTCAGTGACATCCTAAAGCTGAATATATTTTCTGCTCATCCAAATAGATCAATCTGTTCTGTGGCACCTCAGCTGGGTGGTGGCTGGTGGTGACAGTGGCACTGTTTAGCAATGCTCATTGTACACAAACCCTGTTGAGGCAACTCTCACCAGCCTTTTACACAATTTGTGTATTTTAGCATATATTTTTTTTAATCTAGGTTATTCTACGACAATAGAGATTTTTACCACGTATCTTATATGTTGGAGTTAGTATTTTTTATTGTGCTTGAAATTCTCTGTCATGGCTTGTGTTCCTTAACCTGCACACTCCGTTTGAGTACTTGATCCTGGCCACCATCATCGCCAACTGCATCGTACTGGCCCTGGAGCAGCACCTACCAGCCAACGACAAGACCCCCATGTCAGAACGTCTGGTAAGACACTCAACCTGCTGTGTCCCAAATCGATTTTTTGTGTCCCAAATGGCACCCTATTCCCCATTGTCTTCCGTCAGATGGTGTCATTCTAACACGACACGCAGTTGCCAGGAGCCATAGTGGACTATGTAGGGAATATGGTTCCATTTGGGACACAGCCTATGATAACTATACCTATCATACTTTCTATAACTTTACTTAGTGTTCCAATTTATATACTTATACAGTGTTGTCTTCTGTTTGTTTGCTGTAAAAGTGTAGAATGTTACATTGTTATTTTAGCTGATTTTGAAGAGGGAAATAGGTAGTTAGACAGATCGAAACAGAGAATTCACTCAGAGCTATTGCTCATTTTGAGCTTTCCACCACTGGAGCTCAGTGATGAGGCAGCCCAGTCAGCCCTAAACAACTCCTCCCAGAGGGCCCTGAGTCCCAGACACACCTCCAGTACATGGGAGAGCAGCACCCCTTCCTCATTAGTGCCTGGAAGCATGGAGATGTGTGTGTCTCCCTCCTCCTGGCTCTCATTCTGTATGTCAGTTGAGCCTCACACTGAGCGGGCTTTGATCCCCCCTTCTCCTCCACAGGCCCCCTGTTCCCCTGCCTGCTCACACACGCAACTTAAACCCCCGTTTGAACTCTGCCAGTCAAGTCATTAAACCAATGCTGTTTTAAGCTGTGAAAATCTTAAACAGCATCTTTTCACTTTAAGCTGTGAGAGAATGAAACTGGGAGGGGCTGCCACACAGCCATTGGAGGATTGTGGTGCTGCTTCTCTAACACAGCGTCTACAGTCAGGACACGCATAGAATAGCATTACGTTGTTCAGCACTTAGCTCACAGATGCGGTCTTAAGGACGTTTTGACTCCTGGGAGTCAGCATAGAATAGTGGAAAAGGCATAAAAAGCGCTTTTGCAACAGCTTGGCGAGATAAGGTTAATGACTCCCCTCAAATGCAGCCACCTGCTCCTGTTTACAATTATCTCCGTAATTGTGATGCAACATCAGCAGCGGCGTAGTGGCACAAGAAAACATAAGGTACTCGACACCTGAGAAACTGATTAGTGTTAGTAGAGAGAGAGAGAAAGAGAATACGTCTCCCCTCCTCCTTTCTCCCTCCTTCCCCTCAAGTAGAAGCATGTAATACCAGCATCCTTTATGGTCCAGGATGAATAGATTGAGGTGTGTCTTAAGTGGAGCTCCTGATAATAGAACATTGTCAATGGGCGTTGTTGTTCAGAGTTTTACCCTCGTGGTCCCCTGTGATTTCCCCTCTGCCCCTCCAGAGCCATTTACTATAGATGGAGCGTTCATTATTCATGAGCATTTGACATTTATACCTTATGTTAACACAGTCTACTGTACTACATAATGCTTTATGGATGGACCATCCAACCTAGCCATTATATAAGGCTTGGCATAGCATTGTTTTGTCTGCTATCTCTTTTATAGCAGACTCAATGCTCTTCATTAGTCTTTCCTTACATTAAAGCCCTGAGAGCCTCAGCCCTGTGTGGTCTTGATAGTCAGCGGGAGGCCCAGAATCATTTCACTGGCTGAACAACAAACCAGTTATTTAAAACTTTATTTTTCTGAACCATCTCCTGTTACAGTGACGCTAATAAAACTGGTATATTTTAATTGTTCTTGATTGTTGTTAGATTTACCTTACAGGTAGTGAAAAGCTCACATACCATTTAACGCTGTTCTCAAGTCTGTCAAACTCATTTGTGATTATTTGCGTTGGGAAGCCTGGGTTGGGGGTTGGGTTCATGGAGCTGTGGAGAGAGCGAAAGAAAGAGAGGGAAGTTAGTGTTAATCCGTGAGATATCCTCTGCTAGTGCCTGTGTGTGTAACAGGGCCTCCGGTCTCCACTGACATTAATGGAAGGGAGTGAAAAGTGTCATATCATAGGTGTACTGCTTTGAACAAGGGCAAGGGTCATCCTAGCTTAAAAATTGTTTTTTGTTAAAGATCTTCATACCACTCCAATGGTTTGTTAATTGTTTTAATGTTTTGTTAAATATATTTAACAAGAAGCCAATCACTAATAGCCCTTTTGGAGACTACAAAGCCTCATTAAATTATAATTTCTGTGTAAATTGTAATCATACTAATTTGCTATCAATTAGTAAGATTTGTTAAGAGTAAAATGTAAGCTATTATCTTACGCAGGTGATAACATGTTATGATAAATGCGTAAATCTCACTGATTGAAAATGGTGTCCAAGATTACAGTTGGTCTTCTGGTATAGGCTGTTTTCACTCCCCCTCTTTTCTCCTCCTCTTTTCATCCACCAAGAGAGGGTTCCGTTCCTTGACCCATTCTCCGCATGCTGGTAGAAAAGTCAAAGAAACAATCCCCCTTCTCTTTCCCCCTCTCTCTCTCTTCTGCCATTCTTCATTAACCTCTCACTTACTTCTAAGAAAAAGGTATCTCTCCCTCTCCCTTGTTCCCTGTCTCTCTCTGCAGGATGACACAGAGCCCTACTTTATTGGAATATTCTGTTTCGAGGCTGGCATTAAGATTATCGCCTTGGGCTTTGCATTTCACAAAGGCTCGTACCTCCGCAACGGCTGGAACGTAATGGACTTTGTGGTCGTCCTCACTGGGTGAGTCCTGGGCCTGCCGTGTGTGTGTGTGTGTATATAGAATGGATGAAAGAAGGGCTGATTTGTTCATGTCCATGCTTATTTATATGTGTTTTTATGAATGTGTACGTGGCACATTCCTTATTGCTGCATTTGCATGGAATTTGCCTTTTCCACTATTGCGCTATTGATTAACACAGTTCTACAAAGAATATTAATGCAAAGCAACCGAAAGTGACGCTTAAATAAAAAAGAATAATTCTGTTATACCAATGTATTGCCCAATATTGCTCATGAAATTTGTTCCTAAAAGTATTTTATTGTCAATTTAAATATCTGTTTTGGCTCTCCTTTTTCTGATGCAAGGGCTCAGTGGAAGCTCAAGAGGTAATAGGCTAACTCGGGGAAAAAGGTGAAAATTAGTAGAACTTCAGCGATACAGCACTAGTTTTACTGGGTCGTTGTTCCACAGTTTTGGATGGATGCTCTGAGTGGCATACGTTAAAAGTCTGGGGTCGGCTCTTAGTCTGGCTGGGCTGAGAGAGAGTGTCTGGCTGGCAAGGCGACTACTAGCCAGTCAGAGGACTTTGGAGAGCAGTAATGGCTCGGTCTCTGATTGAACCCAGACAGGGGTGAGAGGGTAGAGCTAGCTATGTGGAGCAGTGGTGATGTACCAACACAGTATAATCACCTCTGAGAAGTGGACCAGCCAGGTCATCAGGTAGAATCACATCCTATCAGGGTGTATCATACTCCACTGCTATAGGGAGCCAGGCACGAGCCTACAAATACAACTCAGTCACGCTATGTTACTGCTTTTTATTTCTCTGTTGCTCTTGCCGGTGGTAAACCTTGCCTTTGCTTTGTTAAATGTATGAGCGGCAAGGTATTGTGCCGGCTTGGTGTTATAAGGAGTTTGGATAGGATTTATGGTGTAAATAATGGCCATTCCGGAAAGTCGATAAACAAATAAATCAAGCTGGATACTGAAGCCGGTAAGTAATAGAGTGAGAGAGAGAGCGGGGAAGGGAGTGGGAGAAACAGTGTGGCTGTTGATGTAGTCTTCCTCTTGTACCCCTCGCCTACACACACACCTCTCATAAGTCATAACATCAGCTGTCATCAGTAGCGTGATTTTATTTTAAAAGTTAACACGTTGACTAATTAGAAAAGTAAAATCAGTACTTTTCAATGCATGAGATATGAGGTCAAATGCGTGTCTCACGGCCAATTCGTGAGAGTCGGCAGCTCTGATGATAACAAAAATATAAACGCAACATGTAAAGTGTTGGTCCCATGTTTCATGAGCTAAAATAAAAGATTCCAGAAATTTTCCATACACACAAAAAGCTTATTTGTTTCATTTTGCGCACAAATATGTTTACATCCCTGTTAGTGAGCATTTCTCCTTTGCCAAGATAATCCATCCACCTGACAGGTGTGGCTTATCAATAAGCTGTTTTAAACAGCATGATCATTAAACAGGTGTACCTTGTGCTGGGGACAATAAAATGCCACTCTAAAATGTGCAGTTTTGTCACACAACACAATGCCAGCGATGTCTCAAGTTATGAGTGAGCATGCAATTGGAATGCTGACTGCAGCAATGTCCACCAGAGCTGTTTCCAGAGAATTGAATGTTAATTTCTCTACCATAAGCCACCTCCAACGTCGTTTTAGAGAATTTGGCAGTACGTCTAACTGGCCTCACAACCACAGACCACGTGTATGGCATCGTGTGGGCGAGCGGTTTGCTGATGTCAACGTTGTAAACAGAGTGCCCCATGGTGGCGGTGGGGTTACAATATGGGCAGGCATAAGCTACAGATAACGAACACAACTGCATTTTATCGATGGCAATTTGAATGCACAGAGATACCGTGACAAGATCCGGAGGCCCATTGTCATTCATCCACCTCCATCACCTCAAGTTTCAGCATGATAATGCACCGCCTCATGTCATAAGGATCTGTACACAATTCCTGGAAGCTGAAAATGTCCCAGTTCTTCCATGGCCTGCATACTCACCAGACATGTCACCCATTGAGCATGTTTGTGATGCTCTGGATCGACGTGTATGACAGCGTGTTCCAGTTCCCCCCCAATATCCAGCAACTTCAGACAGCCATTAAAGAGGAGTGGGACAACATTCCACAGGCCAAAATCAACAGCCTGATCAACTCTATGTGAAGGAGATGTGTTGCGCTGCATGGGGCAAATTGTGGTCACACCAGATACTGGCTGGTTTTCCTAGTTCACTCAAATATCCAGTTAATGGTGGCCAATATTGAGAGAGATCGTGAGGCCACCCTACCCTCAATTGATGTATACTGATCATGAAAAGCATGCAGTTACTTGCTGTATAACTCTGACAGAGCTGAATGTGCGCAGTTGTTTTGCATGGAAGTTTGTAGGTCTGACTATGCTCTTCAAGAGGTGACAGGGCTGCCAACTTTTGAAGAAAGCTTGGTGAGATTTTCTATGTGAATTTCATTGCCCCCTAGCACAACCCCTAGACGGGGGACTGGGGTTCCTCCCCCAGGAAAATGTTACTGTTTTAAAGCTAATTTCCAGCAATTCTACAAATGTTGACATGGCTTAGGCCTATGACTAGGGTGGAATTATTATTTTTATTACAACCACAGGTGTTGTGTATTCAGGATACATTGAACATTAAATGAACACAAAATTCGGCACATTTGTTACTTTGAGATTTTTGGGGATGAAATTCAAAGTATGCTAAATATTAGTACAAATTCAGTGGTTTGAAACTTTATTCAGACAGTAATGAAATGAGATGGGGAGACAGGCAAATGTTAGAAACAGTGGGAAGGTTGGAAGTTGTATGCAACACGTGCTGGGGATTGTTGCTCTGCACAGGACATTTTTATGTTAGTGGTTGATGGCAGTGGGTAACCAAATCATAGATTGTCTCCTTGTCCATAGACTGCTTTCAAGATAAGGACACAAACATTGTCCTTACCTTGATGCATGTAAAATATGAATATACATGTAACAACAAAAGAAAAAGCTGTAAAAACAAAGTAGGGGGGTTTATGGGCCCCCAAAAAATAAAAAGGACACAAACATTTTGTAATTTGGGTGAACTATCTTTTTAAAATGGGTCTGGATGTCACGCCCTGGCTCTGGGGACTCTTAAATGTTGAGCCAGGGTGTGGATTTTCTATGTTTAGTTTTCTATGTTTTTTGTTCTAGATCGTTTAGTTCTATGTTGGCCAGGGTGGTTCCCAATCAGAGGCAGCTGTAGCTCGTTGTCTCTGATTGGGGACCATACTTAGGCAGCCTGTTGGCACCAGTTAGTTTGTGGGATCTTGTTCCGTAAAGGTTTGTGTTGTTGTAACCTCAGGACTTCACGTATCGTTCGTTTTGTTGTTTTGTTCGTGTGTTGTGTACTAAATAAAATGTACGCTTATCACGCTGCGCCTTGGTTACACGAGTCATCAGTCAACGTGCGTGACACTGGAAGAAAATCCTGCTTCCTCTCCAGGAGGGTTGGCCACCCTTGATCTATGTTTCCGAAGTGCCAGGTGTTTGAATGTTCTTGTTATAACAATTAATTTATCAAAATCACCCAACCTTCAAGAAGAATTTAATGATTATCAATATTCAGGTGGTTTATGCCTACAAATTGAAGATCCTTGCCATCATTTTACTCAACATAGCCAAAATATGATGTTTATGAGTTGTGAGTCCCTCTTAAATGTCAAAAATGATATTAGACTTTTATATCCAATGCTTATTTGTATGACTTTTTCAAAACTGTCCATGAATGGCTGCAAATATGCATAGCCTTATATAATTAGACACATGTAGGCATATCAGATTTCAAATATGTGATTACACTGGCAAAATTGAGAAGTGGAATAATAAAATAAGTGGGGAATAACAGTAGTGTTCTTGCTGACAAGCACACGAATTACCCTATATTTTAGCCCATTGTTAAGAATGATAAAAGGCCACTCTAAAATGTGCGGTTTTGTCACACAACACAATGTCGCAGATCTAGTTTTGAGGTAGCGTGCAATTGGAACGCTGACTGCAGGAATGTCCACCAGAGCTGTTTACATTTTTACATTTTAGTCATTTAGCAGACGTTCTTATCCAGACTGGATGTTGTTTCACATACCCAACAAAATAAATTACAGTCCTGATTTTTTTATTTTAATTTTTATTATAAATATTATTTAATTTTTTGACTCGCTGCACAGGAACATCTAATTATTTACTTAATTTAGAAACCTGGTTCCCCGTTTTGATTAAAGGCCCCTTGGTCTATTGAACCTATAACAGTGGTGTAAAGGAGGAGAGCTGCTTTCCCGTTTTCTTAGCCAATGCATTTGAATGATAGACAGCTTTTAATCACAGGAGTGTTACACACCTCACATAATAGTATGTGTTGACTGAGGGATCTATAATGAGCTGTGTTTTGTTTCCCTCTCTGAGTGCTTGCCAGGTCTGTGCTCCACTGTGCTCCTGTGGTTGGAGTGCCAGCTCCTCTAGTTGTTCATGCTCTGAGACATCCAGGCATCACTTTTATTGATCAAGGCCTCAGTTTGCCTTTTACAGCCCTTAGAAACAGCATGGCAACCACAATCAAATGTTCTCATGGTGAGGTCAAAGACTTCACTCTCAGCTAACTGTAATCTATAAGTGACCTGCAGACAAAACATTGGCAGTAGTGCTGTTTTGTTGTCATCTGTGTTTGGGCTTGATGATCAAGTCGGACTTCTAAATGTTATGAATATGAGATGGCCATTGCTGACTTCAAAGTAGTGCTTTCAATCCTTCACCCTTTCATGTGCCTTTTCATGTAATATGGTCGGACCAACAATCATGGGCTTCAAAGTGGCAGTAGAGAAGCATGCTAGGGTCTGTCCTTTCTGTTGCCGTTCCCAACAGCATCAATGAATCGTCCCTTTGAACCTCTGCCAAACTGTTATCTGTCTGCTACTTCTGTAACTGTTTTGCTCTACAGGTGACATGTGCATGAGATTATATGTGTGT